CTATACACCAGCAATGAGAAATCTGAAAGGGAAATTAGGGACACAAATCCATTCACGATACGATCTAAAAGAATAAAACACCTAGGAATAAATTTAACCAGAGATGTGAAAGACTTATGCAATGAAAATTATAAAACACTGCTGAAAGACATTAAAGAAGACTTAAATAAACAAAAAGATGTTCCATGTTCGTGGATTGGAAGACTTAATATTAAAAAGTCAGTACCACCCAAAGCGATCTATAGATTCAACCCAATCCTGATCAAAATTCCAACAGCCTTTACAGGAATAGAAAAACCAATCCTCAACTTTATGTGGAATGGCAAGAGGTCCTGAATAGCTAAAGCAGTATTGAAAGAGAAGAACAAGGTAGGAGGACTCACACTTCCTCATTTCAAAATACATTATACAGTTACAGTAATCAGAAAACCCTGGTACTGGTATAACAAGAGGCACGTAGACTAATGGAATAGAATTGAGAGTCCAGAAATAGACCCACACACCTATGTTGTTGTTGTTGTTAGGTGTCATCAAATTGGTTCTGACTTACAGCGACCCTGTGTACAACATAACTAAACACTGCCTGGTCTTGCATCATTCTCACGATCATTGTTATGCTTGAGCCCATTGTTGCAGCCACTATGTCCATCTGTCTTGTTGAGGGTCTTCCTGTCTTTTGCTGACCCTCTGCTTCACCAAGCATGATGTCCTTCTCCAGGGACTGGGCCCTCCTGATAACATGTCCAAAGTATGTGAGACGAAGTCTTGCCATCCTTGCTTCTAAGGAGCATTCTGGCTGTACTTCTTCCAAGACAGATTTGTTCATTCTTTTGGCAGTCCATGGTATATTAAATATTGTCCGCCAGCACCATAATTCAAAGACATCAATTCTTCTTTGGTCTTCCTTATTTATCTCCTAGCTTTCGCATGCATATGAGACAATTGAAAACACCATAGCTTGGACCAGGCACACCTTAGTCCTTAAAGTGACATCTTTGCTTTTTAACACTTTAAAGAGGTCTTTTGCAGCAGATTTGCCCGATGCAGTGAGTCAACTGATTTTTGACAAGGGTCATGGTTTCATGGAACATCCCACTTAATGGGCCTAATAACATGTTTAGTGCTTCTGTTCTGCTTCCTACTTCGTTGTGTAGTGCCTGGGGTTTTAAAAGCTTGCAAGTGGTCCATCCAAGGCACAACAATTGATCTGTATTTTCCTGGAGCAACAGAGGGAGGAGAGTCAGGAATAGGAGGAGGTTATGGAATATGTGGCTAATTGCATCCTTGAACAACTGCCTCCTTGGCCATGACACCGGAAGAATGGGGTAGTGTCTGGCTACCATTACTGAACGTTTTCATCAAAGATTCCTTAGAATAATCCTGATCAGATGGGGAAAATGCAGAACAGAATTTCATATTCTCATGGACTCTAGACTTTCTGGAGCCATGGAGGGTGGATGAATCACTGAAACTATTGCCCTGAGATAATCTTTAAACCTTAAACCAAAAATATCCCCTAAAGTCATCTTAAAACCAAACACTAGTTACCTTAACCAGTAAAAAAAGACCTGCCTTGAGCATTGTACTGTTTTAAGAACTATCTATATGGGATCAAATTGAAAACAGCAACTTGGAAGATTAGATAGGAACCTTAGAGGGCAGTAGGTTTATGTTAATAATGGAGGAACAACCCAGAAAAGGAGGGTGAGAATGGTTACACACCTCAAACAATGTAATCAGTGTCACTAAATTGTACATGTAGACATTGTTGAATTGGTGTATGTTTTGTTGTGTATATTCTCAACAGCAACAAAATAAATAAAATTTAGGGGGAGTAAAAAACCACAATGAGATACCATTTCACTCCCACTAGGAATGCTGAGATTTAAAAATAATAATAATAAATGTTGGTGAGGATGTGGGGAAATGGGAACCCATATACATTGCTGGTGGGAATGCAAACTGCTACAGCTGTTGTGGAAAACAATGTGGCCATTATGGATTGAATTGTGTCCCCCAAAAATGTGTGTCAACTTGGCTAGGCCATGATTCCCAGTATTGTGTGATTGTCCTGCATTTTGTAATCTGATGTAATTATCCTGTGTGTTGTAAATCCTAACCTCTTTTATGTTAATGAGGCAGGATTAGAGGCAGTTCTGTTAATGAGGCAGGACACAACCCACAGGATTAGGTTGTATCTTTAGTCAGTCTCTTCTGAGATATAAAAGAGAGAATCGAGAAGAGAGGACCTCCTACCACCAAGAAGGAAGAGCCATGAGCAGAGCGCATCCTTTGGACCTGGGGTCCCTGTGCTGAAAAACTCCTACATCCAGGGGAAGATTGATGACAAGGACATTCCCCCAGAGCAGACATTGAGAGAAAGGCTTCCCGTGGAGCTGGTGCCCTGAATTCAGACTTCTGGCCTCCTGTACTGTGAGAGAATAAATTTCTGCTTGTTAAAGCCATCCACTTGCGGTATTTCTGCTATAGCAGCACTAGATAACTAAGACCAAAAAAACTAAAACTAGAAGTACCATATTACCCAGCAAGTCCACTCATTAAGTATATACCCAGAAGACTTGAAAGCAGAAACTCAAACAGATACTTGTACACTAAAGTTCATTGCAGCCCTGTTCACAATAGCCAAAATATGGAAACAGTCTAAAAATGCTCATCAGTGGATGAATGGATAAACAAAATGTGGTTCATACATGCAATGGAGTACTTACTCAGCCATTAAGAGAAATGAAGTCTTGATACATGCTACAATATGGGTGGAGCTTGAAGACATTATGCTTAGTGAAATAAGTCAATCACAAGAGGACAAATAGTATGTGACCTCATTTATATAAAAAGACAAGAACAGACAGATGTATAGAGACCAAAGGTTTTTAGTGGTTACCAGGGGCAGGAGGGTTGTGCTAAGAGGAGGTTATTGCTTATGAAGTACTGAGTTTTAGTTTACAGTGATGAAAAAAATTACATTGATTAAGGGTAGGATTGTACAACTGATTAATTGGTGTCAATAAGTTGTATACCTATAAAAAGTTGAATTGGCAAAAGTTGTATGATAGATATATTTACAACAGTGACCAAAAAAAAAAAAAAGAGAGAGAGAGAGAAGCTGCTGAGGCTACTTATGTACAACCAAACAGCTTATGGGATTTAGTTCCTTTGGAGGATTAGGATCATGGTTTCATGGGACATCCCAGTTAATTGGCGTAGTAACATGTTTAGTGCTTCTGTTTTACCTCCTACTTTGTGTGGTGCCTGGGGTCTTAAAAGCTTGCAAGCAGCCATCCAAGGTACAACAATTGTCTCTATTCGCCTGGAGCAACAGAGGAAGGAGAGTCAGGAATAGCAGGAGGATATGGAATGTGTGGCTAACTGCCTTCATGAACAACTGCCCTCTTTGCCATAAGACCAGAAGCACTGGATGGTGCCCAGGTACCACTACTGAACATTTCGATCAAAGATTCACTAGAACAATCCTGATCAAAAGGGTGAAAATGCAGAATGGAATTTCAAATTCTCATGGAATCCAGATTTTGTGGAGGCGGGAGGAACCCCTGGAACTATTGCCCTGCGATAATCTTTAAATGTAAATCCAAAAATATCCCCTGAAGTCTTCTTAAAACCAAACAGTAGTTTAGCTTAACTAGTAAAGAATGTCTGCCTTGAGCATTGTGCTCTTTTAAGGTCTGTCTGTATGGAGTCAAATTGACAACAGCAACTTGAAAGATTAGATAGGAACCTTAGGGGGCAGTGAGTTTACGTTAATAGGAGAGGAACAACTCGGAAAAGAGAAATAAGAATGGTTGCACACCTTGAAGAATGTAATCAGTGTCACTGAATTGTACATGTAGAAATTGTTGAATTGATGTATGTTCTGCTGTGTATATTCTCAACAACAAAAATAAATTATTAAAAAAAAAAAAGAACCTAGCATCAATAATCTAAAATGGAGGCTCAGAAGCTGAACACAGCCCTTGACCTTCTGAAGACCTATTTAGTTGGCAAAATATAAAGCTCAGGGATAGACAGCCCAGATCTTGCATGAAGAGAGAGTTCAGCAGATGGGGAGGTTTTAAGGCTCCAGAGACAGATGTCTGGAAATTTGGCTCTCAACCAAAATGAAACCATTACACCTGCTGAATCTGTCTGGATTCCATTTCCTCTCAGGGATCATGAATTTAATGGCCATCCAGATGTGCCATATGTATTCTTCCACTTGTTTTAGAGAAACTCCTGGCATTCTTATTATCTTGCTGTGGCTGGAGGAATTTTCCATTCTCCTCCAGTGCCCTCCATTCTTTTGAGTGAGTGTTGTTTGTGCTGCTGCATGCAGATTCAAATTTACTGTCCAGCTTTCTTCCTCTTTGTTCAATGCTGACTCATTTTCCCCACATATTTGTTCATATGCTGCTTGCTGTAGCCCCTTGATCTCTCTTGCCAAATGACAGTAAGGCATTTTGAAGTTTTAGAAGCTTTTTCCTGGGGTTTTATCCAGATGTCCTTGTTTGGTTTGTTGGCAAAAGAGTCTTACTCTCCATTTGTATAGAATTTGCCCATTATTTCTATACCTGCCTTTCAAGTGGAACCAGGTTAGCAAATGATAGAAAATTAAATCCATATAATTTGTGATAGGGAATATGTTTTGTGAAAAAGACCGCTAAGTCACAGAGAATGCTCAGAATGAGATTATGCAAATGTTTTTATTATCACACTTTCAAGTGCTGCAGGCACTCTTGATTCTAATTCAAGGCAAGGAGGCTCTGGCTAGCTTGCTTTTTTTTTTTTTTCTGTTTTAAATTAGCAGAAGCACACAAGAGCATAACAGACAGCAGTGAAATAAGGTCTTTTAAAAGGGCCTGCCTCATAACCTCCTATGTACTTCATAGCCCAACAGAGATGATGAATAAATTTGCTTTGGCCTCATAGTTTATAATTTACTCATGCGCTTTTGCAACAGAAATGGTTGTCATGCTCTTTAATTTCAGGAAACCTGTGATCTGGAGATGTTAAAGCCTGAAGCCAGACGATACTTGGAAAAATCAGTTAAAATGGGAAAAAGGAATGGGCTCCATCTTCCAGAACAAGTCCAGAATGTGAGTTTATCTTCCTTTTTCTTATTGGGAGAATTACTAATAAATAAAAGAAAAACCAGGAAATAGGGAAATAGATGTGCTGTAAGAAAATAACCCATAGTACAAATTCATTTTCAATGTATTTGTTCTTCAGTGTCTTTAAATTCTGCAATTTCTGTTAACCTCATGGTGACTGACAAACCACTAATACTTCATTATTCTTTAATCCTGTACAAGTTTTATTTGTTTCATGTGTGTTGGGCATGTCTTCCCTGCTCTATTTTGCATTCTTTAAGAGCTAGTTCCAGGCCTTAATAGTTGGTTTGTATTCTCACTCCCCTGGTCATACAGAAATAATGCACTGATAATAAAGTCCTTGTTGATGGAGGATTTTAAAACCAGCACTTTGGAGTGGGACACACTACATTACTATATGCCCCTTAAAGAAAGAAAGAGAAGGTCTTGAAGAGTGCTTCTCAAACTTTGTTTTTGTATTAGCCAATCACGTCTTTCAGTTTTAGAAGTAAACTCAGCTACCATACTGACCTCGTTTTTCTTGGGCAGGAAATATAACCCATGATTTATTTGCGTGTCATTCTTCTGGCCAGCAGAACTAGAAATAAATTTTAAAGAAATCCAAACCAAGTGATATTAGCATTGTAGATATAACTGCAGGCACCACTGGGATATGGGCATCTTCCTCCCACCTAAATGCCCCTTGTACACTTTCTGTCCTATTCATCCTAGTTAGAGGAAGAATGTGACTAATCTCACTTACCTGACCCTTTCCCATCCTTGTCAATTCTCACTTCTGTCTGGGGCATGAACGCTGTATTAGTTAAGGTGTTTTGGGTTGTAGCTAACAAAAACCCAGTTTAAATTAGTTTGAGCAATAGAAGAGATGTATTTGCTTGTATAATTGGAAGGTCCATAGGTAGGTGGGCTTTATGGTTAGTTTGATCCAGGTGCTCAGTGTCATCAGAAACCTGATTTTCCTGTTTCTGTACTCTGTCTTCTTCAATATAAGTATTGTCCAAAGGCTGACTTCCATTCTTACTAGAATGGCTGCAGACCTAAAAAACCTCACCATCCAGAAGGACACAGAGAAATCCCCATCAAACCTCCCCTCGTGTCCTGTTGGCCCAGATTAGATTATATGCCTAATCCTGAGTCCTTTAGTCAGGGTTGTCTGAGCCAGTCACTGAGTCAAGGGGGATGAGATGACCTAACTGGGGTAGGGGGCGTATAGGATCAGGTCCTACCCAAATGACATGACTGCTATACAGCGGGGGAGAGGCAGCAGGGGTGTTGGGGAGACAACTAGTGTGTCTGAAAACCACACTGAACAGTATACATATGTTAACTTGGTGGTTTCAAGCTTTAATGTGCATCCGAATTGTTAAAATTCTGATTACTAGGCCCTGCCTCTTAGAGTTTGTGAGTCAGTAGGTCTAGTGTTGAGACTCAAGAATTTGAATTTCTAATTTCCTAGTTGATGCTGATACTTCTAGTCAGGGCCACACTAAAGAGAACTAGTGATTTAAGTAAACATCATTATCTAGCATTGTTGGAAGAGCAGTGGAACAGGTTAATAATGTTTTTTTTTTCCTCTTGTGGTTTTCTTCTTATTGCTGTCTTTGATTCCCACCTAATACTTTTTATGTAAATGTTAGGACCTATAAATCACCTTTGTTTTCAAAATTTCTGTAAAACTGAGACCTAACCTTTTTTCTGAAGCAACCATAGAATTAATTAGTTGGTTTCTTATCTCTTGGTTTACTTCAGCACCAGATAATGATTACTAATTTAGAATTTTGAATTCAAAATATGTTGATTAGTAATGAGCTACTACATTCAATCACTCAGCAGTTATTTATTGTGTGTCTGCTATGTGCCAGGCACTGTTTTGATTATACCTCCTAAGTTTATTTAGTTCTTTCAAACTTTAAAGCATCATCAGAACTGCCTTTCCATGAGTGCTATGTACACATACACATGTGCATGATACAGAAGACTGCAGAAAGCTGTTTTACTGTGAAAGTACTTCCATAAGGTTAGATACAGAAGCCAGTCTTCATATAGAAGTGAAATTCACTTGACTGGTGGCAACAAAAATCAGTTGCATTTTACCATAAAATATCCTATATTTTTATTTTTGTTTCAGGAAATCAAAGCAATGAAGAAAAGAATGAGTGAGCTGTGTATTGACTTTAACAAAAACCTCAATGAGGATGATACCTTCCTGGTATTTTCCAAGGCTGAACTTGGTAAAATTTTGTTATTTCTAGATTAAATGATGCAATTTAGGCAAATAATGTCACCTCAACAGCTTGCCTCAATTTCCAGATACCAAACCTATATCAAAGAATTCTTTAAAAAAAAAAAAAAGAATCATTCAGTACCTAACCCCACCATTCCTCCTATCAAAAAGACAACCAAACCAATCCTAGATTTTAGACTAATAAAAGTGTGTACTGTTTCTAGAAACAGTCTAGAGGCAATTTCATAATCTTTATTGCTAACTTATGCTGGTGTTTAACAGCCTTCGGTGCCTTGAAATTTTTTCTGCCTTACAATGTCTTCTACTTTGTAATTTACGCTAGTGTCTTCTATTCTTTTCCGGATATTTCTTGGCTTACATTTGCCTGTTCTCCATCAAAACACCACCTGCACAAGTACACTGAAACCTATTCATATTTTGAATCACCATATTCTAAGCCACCTGGCCTCTGAACACCACCCCCATTTCAGTAACATTAGAAAGGTATTATAAGGATTGTCATTATTTTACTTGAGTTTAAATTACTCCACAAAATTCCTAGAACCACTTGGCACCATGCCAATGCTAAATAAACCAATAATGATTGGAAAAAATGATGTCTTTTCCAAATGATTTTTTGCAGGTGCTCTTCCTGATGATTTCGTTGACAGTTTAGAAAAGACAGATGATGACAAGTATAAAATTACCTTAAAATATCCACATTATTTTCCTGTCATGAAGAAATGTTGTGTCCCTGAAACCAGAAGGAAGATGGAAATGGCTTTTAATACAAGGTGCAAAGAGGTACTATAAATGTTTGTCTTCTGTTTTAGTGGAGGATTTTGAGAGGAAGGTTTGCCTTGTTTACCTGTGTTGAAGTCACTTCAGAGACTGACGTTCCTATTTGTGTTTGCATTAGGCCCTTTTATTTGCCTGCCAGTTCCTCTGACCTACAAGACTTTTAGCCTTTTCCTTGGTGATCAGGACCTTGCTTGGTTTGGGCACCGTCTAAGCAGCTCTAACAAAAATAGAATGGGTTAAATAAACTAGAAGTTTTTTTTCCCTCTCCCAAGCCAACAGTCCAGGGCTGGTAGGGCATCTCTCCCTTCCTCAACAAGTGACTTCCAAGGTCGTTCCAATTGTCACCATTTCCTAGCATGTTAGGAAGGGGGAAAAGAGAGTACAGAGCAAACACCTGTAAGGAAAAGACCTGGAAATGGCATACGTCAACTCCATTCACATTGACAACAATTCAGTCATAGGGCCGTATCTACCTGTAAGGGAGGCTGGGAAGTATGGTCTTTAGCTGACGGCCATTTGTTCAGCTAAGGAAGTTCTGGTACTTAACAGAAGAAAGGAAGAATTAGAAATGGATTCTCAGAGTCAGTTAGCTGACTCCACTACAGTCAGCCTCCCTGGATATCCACGTAAACATGAGCCCCCTTTCTTCCACACACAGGACCCATTCTACTCCCAGCCAGTAACTGCCTCAAGCTCAAAAGCCAGGGTCTCTGGGTAATACAAAGTCCTTCCCAGTTGTGGCTTCTCATGATATAGCAGCCAGTGAAAGGCAAGACTAGTTATCTGACCCTCTCACCCCAATACCCACTTAGTGGTGGAATAGGTACAGGATAACCACAATAAAAACTCCCATTCAGAAAAGGAAAGAATGGAAAACATAGCAGGCCCATCTCAGTTTTCAAAAACTATTTGGCAAAAATTGTGAGGATTCCGTGCTCTGGTGAAATTCCCTGGTTAGGCCATTGGACTATATTGGGCTGGCTTTCTGACAGGAATGCCTTTAGCAGCTGTACTCCATGACCCCCGATTTTGCCTGCAGGGAGTTCTTTCTTATCTGTTATCCTCCAAATCCCTGGTGACAGCTAATAGATTCTTGCTGATACCAGTTTGAATCCTTAAGATTGCTTTAAAAAAAAAAAAAAAAAAACTGCTTGCCAGTTCCTACACATGGTGACCCTGTATGTGTCACAGTAGCACTGTGCTACATAGGATTTTCAATGGCTGATTTTTAGGAAATAGATTGCCAGGCCTTTCTTCTGAAGTGCCTCTGGGTGCTACACTTGGAAAACAGAATGAAACACTGCCTGGTCCTGCAACATCCTCACAGTCGTTGCTGTGATTGAGCCCATTGCTGCGTCCACTGTGTCAATCCATCTCATCAAGGGTCTTCCTCTTTTTCGCTGACTCTCCACTTTACCAAGTATGATGTCCCTCTCCAGGGACTCATCCCTCCTGATAACATGTCCAAAGTATGTGAGACGAAGTCTCACCGTCCTTGCTTCTAAGAAGCATTTGGGCTGTACTTCTTCCAAGACAGATTCGTTCGTTCTTTTGGCAGTCCATAGTACGTTCAGTTTTCAGGAGTATTCAATATTCTTTGCCACCACTGTAATTCGAAGGCATCAATTCTTCTTCGGCCTTCCTTATTCATTTTTCATGCATATTAGGCAGTTGAAAACACCACAGCTTGGAAAGATTAAACAGGACCATGAAAGAAAACAAGACTAAATGGGCACACCAGCCCAGGGGCAAGAATGAGAAGGAAGGAGGGGACAGGAAAGCTGGTAAAGGGGAACCCAAGGTCGAGAAGAGGAGAGTGTTCACATGTCATGCGGTTCACAATCAATGTCACAAAACAATATGTGTATTAACTGTTTAATGAAAAACTAATTTGCTTTGTAAATGTTCATCTAAAGTACAGTTAAAAAAAAAATTAGCCCTTGAAAGAAGTAGAATATGTAAAGTTAAAAACAAACAAAAGGAATCTGGCACAAGATGTTAAGGTTATAAGGTTAGTTGACTTAAAAATACCAATTACTTAATGTCTTCTAGGTCTCTGTATATTGTGTACAATAGTGAAATGATAAATAAAAGACAATTCGTAACAAAAAAAGAAAGAAAGAAAACACCATGGCTTGGGTCAGGCACATCTTAGTCCTTAAAGTGACATATTTGCCTTTTAACACTTTAAAGATGTCTTTTGCAGCAGATTTGCCCAATGCAGTGTGTCATTTGATTTCTTGACTCCTACTTCCATGGGCATTGATTGGGATCCAAGTAAAATGAAATCCTTGACAACTTCAGTCTTCTCTCCATTTATTGTGATGTTGCTTTTTGGTTTAGCTGTGGAAATTTTTGTTTTCTTTAAGTTGAGGTGTAATCTATACTGAAGGCTGTAGTCTTTGATCTTCATCCGTAAGTGCTTTAAGTCCTCTTCGCTTTCAGCAAGCCAGGTTGTGTCATCTGGATATCACAGGTTGTGACTGAGTCTTCCTCCAATCCTGATGTCACATTCTTCTTCATATATTCCAGCTTCTTGGATTATCTGCTCAGCATACGGACTGAGTAAGTATGGTGAAAGGATAGAACCTTGATGCACGCTTTTCCTGACTTTAAACTATGCAGTATCCCCTTGTTCTGTTCAAATGACTACCTCTTGGTCTATGTACCGGTTCCTTATGAGCACAATTATGTGTTCTGGAACTCCTATTTTTCCCAGTGTTATCCATAATTTGTTATGATCCACACAGTTGAAAGCCTTTCCATAGTCAGTAGAACGCAGGTAAACATCTTTCTGGTATTCTCTGATTTCAGCCAGCATCCTTCTGACATCAGCAATGATATCCCTCATTCCATGTCCTCTTCTGAATCCAGCTTGAATTTCTGGCAGTTCCCTATCGATGTACTGCTGCAACCACTTTTGAATGATCTTCAGCAAAATTTTACTTGTGTGATATTAATGATATTATTTGATAATTTCTGCATTCCAGTGGATCACCTTTCTTTGGAATGGGCACAAATATGGATCTCTTCCAGTTAGTTGGCCAGGTAGCTGTCTTCCAAATTTCTTTGCATAGACAAGTGAGCACTTCCAGTGCTGCATTTGTTTGTTGAAACATCTCAACTATTCCATCAATTCCTGAAGACTAATTTTTTTGTCTTCAGTGCAGCTTGGACGTCTTGCTTCAGTACTATTGGTTCTTGATCATATGCTACTTCCTGAAATGGTTGAACACCGACCAGTTCTTTTTGGTACAATGACTCTGTATGCCTTCCATCTTCTTTTGATGCTTCCTGCTTCATTCAGTATTTTCCCCACAGAATCTTCCGGTATTGCAATTCAAGGATTGAATTTTTTCTTTAGTTCTTTCAGCTTGAGAAATGCTGAGCGTGTTCTTCCCTTTTGGTTTTCTAACTCTAGATCTTTGCATATTTCATTATAATGCTTTGTATTCTCAAGCTGCCCTTTGAAATCTTCTATTCAGCTCTTTTACTTCATCATTTCTTCCATTTGCTTTAGCTACTCAGTGTTCAAGAGCAAGTTTTAGAGTCTCTTCTGACATTCATTTTGGTCTGTTCTTTCTTTCCTGTCTTAACAATGACCTTTTGCTTTCTTCATGTGCAAGTTGATATCATTACATAACTCACTTGTTCTTCAGTCATTCAATGCATCAAGTCTATTCTGGAGGTGGTCTCTAAATCCAGGTGGGATATACTCATGGTCATACTTTGGCTCTCGTGGACTTGCTCTCATTTTCTTCAGCTTCAGCCTGCACTTGTATATGAGCAATTGATGATCTGTTCTGCAGCCGGCCCCTAGCCTTGTTGTGACTGATGACATTGAGCATTTCTATTGTCTCTTTCGCACGCATGTAATCAGTCTGATTTTTGTGTATTCCATCAGCGAGGTCCATGAGTATAGTCACCATTTATGTTGCTGAAAAAAGGGTATTTGCAATGAAGAAGTCATTGGTCTAAAATTCTATCATGCATACTCCAGCATAATTTCTATCACCAAGGCCATATTTTCCAACTACCGATCCTTCTTCTTTGTTTACAATCTTCTCATTCCAATCACCAGTAATTATCAACGCATCTTGATTGCATGTTTGATCAATTTCAGACTGCAGATGTTGGTAAAAATCTTCAATTTCTTTGTATTTGGTCTTAATTGGTCAGTGCATAAATTTGAATAAATAGTCATATTAACTGATCTTTCTTGTAGGTGTATCTGTATTATCCTATCACTGACAGAATTGTACTTCAGGATAGATCTGGAAATGTTCCTTTTGACGATGAATGCAACGCCATTGCTCTTCACTTTGTCATTCCTGGCATAGTAGACCATATGGTTGTCCGATTCAGAATGGCCAATACCAGGCCATTTCAGCTCAGTAATGCCTAGGATATCAATGTTTATACATACCATTTCATTCTTTACGATTTCCAATTTTCCTAGATTCGTACTTCGTGCATTCCATGTTCATGTTATTAATGGATGTTTGCAGCTGTTTCTTCTCATTTTGAGTCATGCCACATCCACAAATGAAGGTCCCGAAAGCTTGACTCCATCCACACTATTAAGATCGACTCTGCTTTGCAGAGGCAGCTCTGTCAGTTTGTCATACTGTGGTGGCTTGTGTGTTGCTGAGATGTTGGAAACTGTGCCACTAGTATTCATATACCAGCAGGGTCACCCATGGTGGACAGGTTTCAGCTGAGCTTCCACACTAGGAAGAAGGACTTGTCAATATACTTCTGAAAAAAATTAGCCAGTGAAAATCTTACGAATAGCAGCAGAAGTTAACATAAGGCCACAGAAGACCTGTCCCAGGATACTGATTTCCAGCACCTAGTTTAGTAGCCAATATAGTCACTTTTTTTTTGTTTTTAATTTGAGAAGTATTTATCAGCTTAGTTAAAATTTAGTTTGTATTATTGACTCTCACAAATGAATGTTTAGGTTTTACTATTTTGAATTCTGTGTTTGAGATGAGATTGCAGTTGATGATATTCTATCTCTGGGGGAAAAAAAGTCTTCTAAGAAGGGAATAAAATTTTTCTCCTCTAGAGATAAATTGCTCTTCTATGGTATTCTCCACCCTATTCTCCCTACCCCCTTAAATTTTTTAAAAGTATATAATGCTTATATGGAATAATGTGGTAGAAGTTGAGATGATCTAAAAATATTTGACATTTTTTGCCAACCTAAAATTACATGTAATAACTCTTTTATTTCTAGTACTTTGGACCCTGTCAGTTATTAACTTTTGTTGTTGTTTATTCCTAGGAAAACACTATAATTCTGCAGCATCTACTTCCACTGCGTGCCAGAGTGGCCAAACTACTTGGCTATAGCACACATGCTGACTTTGTACTTGAAATGAACACTGCAAAGAGTACAAGCCATGTGACAGCCTTTCTAGGTGAGTTTTTTTTTTTTTAAATCAATTGTATGATTTTCATTTCTTTTTTTCTATGACTGTTTTACTACATCATAGCAGTTGGACAGAGGGGCTCAGAATCTAACACGCCTATTAGAATAGGATTCTAACAGAATCCTGTTTTTCATTCAAAAAAAAATTTATTGATTACCTAGTATATGCTAGAGACTGTGCTTGGTTTCTAGGGATTGTCCATTGCTTATATTACTGTTATAAAACCCAAAACCAAAGCCATTGCCATTGAGTCAATTCCGATTCATAGTGACCCTATAGAACAGAGTAGAATTGCCCCATCTGGTTTCCAAGGAGCAGCTAGTGGATTCAAACTGCTGACCTTTTGATTAGCAGCCGAACTCTTAACCGTTGCGCAACCAGGACTCCTTATATTACTATTATAGACCTTGCTTTTGTATTTTTATGCTAATTCCTAACAAGATGTCTAGCGTTCTAAAAGAGTATTAGCCCATTGGCTTTGTTCACTGCCACCAAGTTTTTGGCAGTGATAGCATGGCTATTTATGAATTTATATGAAATAAGCTGACAGTTGGGTGTAAATGAAAATAGAACATTTATAAACAAAAAATAAATGTTTTCTACTGCAGAAACCACTTGTTATTATATGAAAGTAGTACTAAATGAAATACATCAAAACTATAATCTAATCATTATATTCACATACATTTAAAATTATTTTTACATTAATCTTTTAAAAATCATGCTGCTTATGTCCATGGCATTTAATCACTGATGCTCTATCACTCTTCCTTATCCCCTTCTCAATCTGGCTGTCACAATTCTAACAGTCACTCTTGTTCATCCTAGTGAAAATAGTTGAGTAACTTAGCCATGCTAAAGACACTAATTTTAGTTGTAATCAACTCTAATCAGAATTACCCAAAGTATGATATTTTGTGTATTTTCCTCATTGACACCTTTAAACTTTATTCACCTTCAACAACTAATCAGATTTATGTAATGTATTGCTTTGATATTCATTTAACCTTGATTTCTTTTTATTAGCTTAATTATGTTAGAAAGGATTAATAATGTGTTAAAATAAGCCTTCAGCCCAGAATTGAATCCACTATGTCCTCAGTGGCCATACATTAATTCATTAATATGTATGTGGGCATGATATTTGACATGTAGCTGGTGTTCCATAAATGTTGGCTATATTTATTATTGCATAATTCATTTATTCATTCATGAGACATTTATGGAAAAACTACCTTGTATTATGCAGTATGCTAAATGGTAGGTCTGCAGAAAGGAAGAAGATAAGCCTCCTTTTCCTCAATGCATTTTGCACTGAGTGGGAACAACAGAGATGTAAACAGGTAACTCATACAGTCTGACGCATTTTATGCAAAAGCATGGTTCAGGGTGTTAACAAGTTTGGTGAGACTATTTCCTTTAGTGTAACTGCATATACTGAAAACTGAAGTGTTTTCTTAGTAACTACCTGATTGGCTTAATTTCTTTAAAGTAGTATCCTCCTTTCTCTTCACAACATTCCTCAGGCTGCTGCCTCCATCTCACTATGGGGTTGCCTCCTGAACTGCCATGTCCCTTCAGAGCCAAGCACATTTTTGTCTTATATATCTAACAAGTTGTGAAGAGTAATACTAGTAAGAACCTTCTCATTTAACCAAATACAATGAAACAGTCACAAAAACAAACAGTTACGTAAATTGTAGTATCAGAAGTTTCCCCATCTGAAAAATGGAACTGCTGTGTCCAAATACATCTTCTTGATAGGAATAGGGGAGTGATAAACCCACGACTGTCAAATACATTGAGCAATTTTTACATAATACTGTCCACAAGCTATGTCTCTTTCATTTCCCCTAGCTTTTTGAGAAGCCTAACCTCGTTGAGAAATGATCGTGTATATGAGTTTAGTTTCACTGAACCACAACATTCTTGAGTCACAGTTCTCTGAAATAAACTTCACCTTTGTTGATGATGTCAGAAAGTCATGGCCTGCTTTTGACGGTGCTGGAGGAGCCATAAAATAAATCACCCTGAAGAGAAAAGCAATGCTACTATAATAGAGCCTCCCTCCCTCTGTCCTTCTCTCCTTTCTTCCCTATATCCTTTTTCTTTCCATCCTTCCTTCCTGCCTGCCTGCCTTCCTATTTATCTTTATTGAGTACTTCTAAGGAGAGGGAAACTTGGTAGCTCGGTGGTTAAGAGATCGGCTGCCAACCAAAAGGTCAGCAGTTCAGATCCACCAGCCACTCCTTGGAAACTATGGGACAGTTCTGCTCTGTCCTGTAGGGTTGCTATGAGTCGGGATTGACTCAATGGCAGTGGGTTTTAATGGGTTTACCAAGGAGAGGGCACCATGATAAAATACTGCTTGCTCCCAAGGGTAGTGAATCACTTAACTTTTCCCACTCCCCTCACAGATGATTTAAGCCAGAAATTAAAACCCTTGGGCGAGGCAGAACGAGAGTTTATTTTGAATTTGAAGAAAAAGGAATGTGAAGAGAAAGGTTTTGAATATGATGGGAAAATCAATGCCTGGGATCTGCATTACTACATGACTCAGACAGAGGAACTCAAGTACTCTCTAGACCAAGAAATCCTCAAGGAATACTTCCCAGTCGACATGGTAACAGATGGCTTGCTGAACATCTACCAGGAGTTGTTGGGACTTTCCTTTGAGCAAGTACCAGATGCTCATGTTTGGAATAAAAGTGTTACACTTTACACTGTGAAGGATAAAGCTACAGGAGAAGTGTTGGGACAGTTCTACTTGGACCTCTATCCAAGGTACTGGGGATCAAATTGTTGGAAGGGACCTTAGGGATTCAACCCTCCCAGTTTAAGACTCTTTTCTTCCACAGTTCTCAGTATAGCGGTCAAAAATGTAGGCCCTGAAGACAGAACGTCTGGCTTCATTGCATACTAGGCAAGTTACTTAATTTTTATGTGCCTTAGTTTCTTTGGAGCACCGGTGGCACGGTGGTTAAGAGCTCGGCTGCTAGCCAAAAGGTCAGCAGCTGGAATCCACCAGCCGCTCCTTTGAAACCCTATTGGGCAGTTCTACTCTGTCCTGTAGGGTTGTTGTGAGTTGGAATTGGCTCGACAGCAACAGGTTTTATTTTGTTTTGTTTTTAGTTTTTTTGTCTATACTACCAGGTCCTGTAAAATGGGAACACTTACAATACCTATTCCCTCAGGTTGTTTTAAGGATTAAATTGGTTAGTTCCATGCAAAGCATTTAAGAAGAGTGCCCTGCACATAACAGTTGCCTAAGTAGTTAGCCACTATCATCATGGAGACCCTGGGTGGTGCAAACAGTTAATGCACTCGGCTGCCAACTGAGAGGTTGGAGGTTCAAGTCCACCCAGAGATACCTCGGAAGAAAGGTCTGGTTATCTACTTCTGAAAAATCAGCCATTGAAAACCGTATGAAATCACAGTTCCACTCTGACACGTATGGGGTTGCCATGAGTCAGAATTGACTCAACAGTAACTGGTTAATACTGGCAACAGTAGCATCTAATCTGTGCATTACATTTACTTAAAATTGACCCCCAAAGAGATTGATTGATTTATTTTTATTATTTTGTTGTTGTTGAGAATATACACAGCAGAACAAACATATACTAATTCAACAGTTTCTATATGTACAATTTAGTGACATTGATTGCCTTCTTTGAGTTGTGCAGCCATTCTCACTCTCTTTTTCTGAGTTGTTCCTCCCTGTTAACACAAAGTCACTTTCCCCTAAGTTTCCTATCTAATCTTTCCAGTTGCTATTGTCGATTTGGTTTTTTTTTTTTCCTTTTTTTTTTAATTGTACTTTAGATGAAGGTTTACAGAGCAAACTAGCTTCTCATTAAGTAATTAATACACATACTGTTTTGTGACATTGGTTGCCAACCCCACGACACTCTCCCCTTCTTGACCTTAGGTTCCCCAGCTTTCCTGTACTCTCCTGCCATCTCATCCTTGCCCCTGGGCTGATGTGTCCATTTAATCTTGTTTTGTTTTATGGGCCTGTCTAATCTATGGCTGAAAGGTGAACTTCAGGAGTGACTTCATTACTGAGCTGAAAGGGTGTCCGTAGGCCATACTCTCGGGGTTTCTCCAGTCTCTGTCAGACCAGTATGTCTGGTCTTTTTCTTTTTTTGTCAGCTAGAATTTTGTTCTACATTTTTCTCCAGCTCTGTCCAGGACCCTCTATTGTGATCCTTGCCAAAAAAAGGTTTATTATTAAGTAATTTGTCTGCCAGTATTCTTGAATCTATTGCCACTCTCCTCAGTCTTGCTAAGAGACAGCACAGTGTACTAGGAATGAGGATTGTTTTAAGGTTCAATTTTATCTCCATATTGACATATTATTTATGCCTCTTTTAAAATTTTTAGTTGTTTCCCACAGTCGAAATATACATATTTTATTAATCAGAGTCTGTCTTCAAATGTTATAACACTTCAGGTATAGGGTAAGCAACTTGAAACAGTGTATTCCCAATTTCTCCCTCTCGTCATTTGTACTATTGTTGGCCTGTGTTTTACTTTTACTATGCTGTAAACACTCAATGAATTGTTAATATTACTACTTTAAATATTTATTATTTAGAGCAATTTAAAATAAGAATTTTTACATTCACCTTCATTTATTACATTTTCAGCAGTCCACATTTTTTTGTGTAAATGCAGGTATTGGGTTGATCTATTCCTTCTGCCTGAGGGGCTTCCTTTAAAATTTCTTGTAGTGCAAGTCTTTTAGCAATATATTCCCTAAGTTCTGTTTCTCTGAGATAGTCTTTATTTTTCTCTCTTTTTTGAAAGAGATTTGTGCTGTTCGTAGAATTCTGGGTTCACAGGGTTTTTGTTCGAGCATTTTAAAGATGTCCCTCCGTTTTCTTCTGATTTGCATAGTTTCTGGTGAGAAATGGCTGTAATTGTTATCCCTGTTCATCTGTAATGTGGTCTTTTCCTCTGCCTACCTTCAGAATTTCTCTCTGTCTCTGGTTTTTAGCAGTTTCACTATACATAAGTGTATCGGGTAGTTGTTGTTTTTTTTCTTGTTTCTTTTGTATTTATCTTCACTGGTGTTCTCTGAGATTCTTGGATCTGTGGTTAGGTGTCTCATTAATTATGGAAAATTCTCAACTATTATTTCTTAAAATATTTCTTCTGTCCTGTTCTCTCTCTCTTCTTCTAAGATTCCAATTACATATATGATAGATCATTTGATATTGTCTCACAAATCTAGATGTTCTTTTCTGTTTTTTAACTCTTTTTGATCTTTGTGTTTTTGTTAGGGCAATTTCTATTGACCTATCTTTAGGTTTCCTGATTCTTTCCTTGGCTGTGTCAAGTCGACTAATGATCTTGTCTAAAGCATTCTTCATCTCTGTTACACCCACTTCTCACTTACCAACATGGTGAGTTTCCAAAGTCCAAGTTGTTATGCAAAAATCAGTGTTAAATGAAAATGGAGGATTTTTGTTTTCAGGCCATCCATTTGTCCAACTTTTTTTAGAAAATATCATAGAAATAATAACAGCTAAGATTTACTGATGAGTAAATCACTGTGATGAGTTCAGTTATGGATTATTCCTCTGTGGAGAAGGAGGCTTGAAGGAGACAAAGCTGGATAAAGCTGGATTGTGTGACTGGAGGCTTAACCACTTCACTTTTCTCTTGTACTGGGTCAGCACTTCCTTCACAGAGCTGCCTCCAGGGCTCTACTCCCACCCTTATAAGCCTTTCATTCACTATCCCAGAGCCTACTCTGCCCTCTGGGCCTGGCACGTCACTGAAGCTTGGGGCTTCCTGCGAGGGCACTGGGAGCCTGGCCAAACACCCAGCCCCACCGAGGCAGAGGCTCCAGACACAGTTCAGCTCACTTTGGGATGCCATTAAGCTCACATGCAGTTCTTCCAAACACCCTGTCTAAAACCTCCTTCTTTCCTCCCTTCCTCTACCCCACAGCAATTTTGAGTTTCAGGGCCTCAGGCCACATAGGAGCTGGGAACCCAGAATAGACACCCCCTGGCTCCATGCGACCTGCACGTTCGCCTAACAGCTGTAGCCACAGAGAAGGCTGGCCCCGAGCGCTAGCTGGACACGGCACCCCTGCTGATGAGGGAGCGAAGGGTGCAGGCAGTGTGGGCCAGCTTCCCAGAGGCCACCTGGAGACCCTCCTTGAGGGAGGGGACACTTCACAGCCATTGCCACCATGGCCACTGCCTCATTAATGCGCAAAATAGTTGTATAGTAGATTTTTTACTACTTTTGTAAATTCGAAATGTCAGATAACAGGATAGACGATAAGTGAGGAGTAGATATACTGTGTTTTTCATTTATAGCATTTTCATTTGATTCTTTTAGTTTCCTACTATCCATGTAACCATGCTTGGTGTCCTCTTTTTTCACTAGATACTTAAATGTATTATTCATAGTTATTTTAAATACTCTGATAGCTCTAACATTTTTGTCATGTCTGAATCTTGTTCTGTTGTTTGCTTTTTCTCTGGACAGCTTGTTCTCTTTTTTCTTGCACATTTGTATGTCTCACAGTTTTCTTTAAAAGCCAGACAACTTGTATAAGACAGAAAAGACTAAAGCAAATTGTTTTTTGTGCCTAAAAATGGACACATCTTTACTTCTGCTAGGTCTTTAATGTCTTTAAGGGAGTTTGATTCTGTTTAGTGCTCAAGCTGAGTTCGAAATTTTGTTGCCAAGGTTGCCCTCAGCACACCACAAGCTTCAAATTTCTGTATTGTTATGTTGTGTTTAGGAAGGGAGCTAGTTTGCCTAGGAGTTTTTCTCAGTGTCTGTTCCACCCTCTCTCCTTTAGGTCTTCCTTTTGTGCTATGCCTTAGAATGGGTCTCTTTTGAAGTTGTTACACTCCTCTCCCAGCGGTAGACTGCTGTTAGGTGTTACTCATTGCATGTTAGCCTGCTTAGGAGAAGAGAGTTCTCTGTTGTTCCGACTACACCTCAGTCTTAAGCAGACACTCTAGGCCCTACTCGTTGATCTAGCTCTGCTCCAGCCTCAGCTGTAGGTCTGGGCCCAGGACGTGTTCCTGCTCTTCCAGGGATTCAGGGTTTTTTTTCTGGTTTTTTTTCCCAGTGGCAGTGGACTTTAACCAGTGCTGTAAGGATTTCGACATTTGTTGCTTTTTCCTCAGCAATTTAAAACTTTCGTTCTATAGGAAAAAGAGGTAAAAAAAATCTTAAGCGTTGCTCCAAGCCTTTACCACAGCAGCTACTCCCTTCCGCTAGGCCTGCACCATAACCAATGCTTCCTCAGGGCTCTCAACTGCCCCAGTCTTTTTATGTGCACTCGTTGGGGTCTGTGGAGAAGAACCTGAAAATGGACGCAACATTTCCCTTACCCACACCCCCCTCTTCTCTGTTCTCTCTGATAATTTTTAATTACTAGTAATTTTTTTTGTTACCTTTCTGTTTTTTGGTTGTTTTTTTTTTAAATTTTATTGTGGTAAAATACATATAATAAAAAATTGCCATTTTAACCATTTTTAAGTGTATAATTCAGTGACATTAATTACATTCACTATATTGTACAGCCATCACCTCTATGCATTTCTAAAATAGTTATTAGTAATTTAACTAATAAATTATTAGTAATTTAACAGTTTAGCAGCTGTTAGCCTTTAGTAATTTATTAAAAATTCTTCTCACTGGTGTTGTGCAGTGTCTGCCTCAGGTAAGGAAGTGCTGGTTTCCTCTCTCTCCTTGGAGGCACTTGTTTTAGATTGTAGATTAGGTGATTACCCTTAACCTCAGCTGTCTGATCAGTTTAAGAAAAGTTGTATTTGCAGATGGTCAAGCATGCTTTTGTGGTTATTGTTGCTGCTGCTGTTTTTGTTACTGTTGTAAAGGTAGGACCAACACGCTTCACAATTTTATAAATATTAATAGAGAGCTGGAAAAAGACTAGTTTCTCTTTAACTTGAAGAGCATCAGCAGGAAAAAAACAGAAAGTAATTAGAGTCACCAAGAAAAACAGTACAGAAAAAAATATACCAACTAAAAGCAAACTAAAAAACCCTCCTCAAAGCCCCAATACACTGTTAGTTTTCTGACCACAAAAATAGAAGTAAACCTACTCCAAGAATGAAGTCTAATCACCTATAGCTTTTGAGGAGACCATCACTGATACCACATTGGTCAAGAACAGAAGACTCTGTAGTACAATTTTTGCTTTTTCAGGCTAACTAAAAGGATCCTGTTTCCAAAAAGCCTGTCTAGCTCATAAAGGAGCTCATTTAATTGTGAGTAGAAGTACTTCCCTCTTTAAATAAAAGGAAAAACCTCATTGTCTGGAATTAAGGTTTTTTTTATCAATTCTAATTTAAAGAAAAAACTACCTGACAAATCAAAACCGTATTTTTCATTTCAAATTTGCTTCAATAGTATTTAGTGAAAAGTGAATTGACTCCATATTTGAAGAACATAAACAGGAGCTCATTAAAATAAGTTGGATATTTAGCTGTGAGCTAGGTGTGGTATGCATCTTAATTCTCACATTAAAATTTTTCAACAAAGGAAACTGTGGAGCTATAACTCAAGGGAAGTGATGGTGGGTTTTTTATTTCTTTGTTTAGTTTTAGTTTTTCCATTTTAACAAAACACTGACCTGTTTTCCAAAAGGTGAATGAAATGTATCTGATATGGCTTGGCAACTGAGAGAGGCCATGCCATTGTTGTTAGAGAAGAGTTACGTACCTCACAGATATGTTTCTGGTTCCTAGGGAAGGAAAATACAACCACGCAGCCTGCTTTGGTCTCCAGCCTGGCTGCCTTCTCCCTGATGGGAGTCGGATGATGTCTGTGGCTGCCCTTGTGGTGAACTTCTCACAGCCAGTAGCAGGTCGTCCCTCTCTCCTGAGGCACGATGAGGTGAGGACTTATTTCCATGAGTTTGGCCATGTCATGCATCAGATTTGTGCACAGGTGAGTGATTTTTTATGGTAAGCCCACAAATTTCCTCTTGCTTTTCCAGCCTTTTTTTTTTTTCTCACCAAGTTTCTCCACTTAATGTGTTTTTTCAGAAACTGAACATGTTCAAGAATTTCATAGACCCTCTGCAGAAACACAATTTTTTTCTAATCATGTCGTCTTTCACAACATATTTTCACTCAGAGGTTAATCCACCGATGAAAGAGCTTTTTGAATACTGGCCTATGGAAAAGGAAAAAAAGACTATCACTGGGGATGAGTTACAAATAACTATAGATTTTTTCTTTTAATTCTTTTCTTCTCCACAGGAATTTGGTGTGAGCTTAACAGATAATCGCAGATATAGTCTGTCCCTTCTGCTTATTAACGCTTTGTTTAGTTCACTGATTTTCAACTCTCTTAGGCCCTTTACTCCTTTTTTTATAATAAATATTTGGTAGCACCCCCTTTATTAGCCTCACATTAAAATAATAGATAATCTAATCATGCAGAGAATTTTCCGGGGTGAAGGATATGTGCAATGGATTGCAGCTGATCTCTCTCTAGTTCTGACAGTGAAACTTTGTAGCACAGTCTAGTAAGCTGTTCTCAAACTATTTTAGGTTGAACCGTGTAACTTGCTAATATTTAACCATTTTTGACATATGGAAGGGTTGAGTAGTGTAACCTAATAGTTTGAATATACTGATATTAACAGAAATGGAGGGACAGTTTTCCAAATTTAGAATCTCTGTGAATCTCTAACCACCACATGCCTGTCAGTTTGTCATACTGTGGTGGCTGGCATGTTGCAGCACTGGAGGTGCTCACTCATCTATGCCAGGAAATTTTGAAGACAGCTGCCTGGCCAACCAACTGGAAGAGATCCATATTTGTGCCTATTCCAAAGAAAGGTGATCCAATAGAATGGTGAAATTATCCAACAATATCATTAATATCACACACAAGTAAAATTTTACTGAAGATCATTCAGAAGTGGTTGCAGCAGTGTATCGACAGAGTATTGCCAGAAATTCAAGCCAAATTCAGAAGAGAACATGGAACGAGGGATATCATTCCTGATGTCAGATGGATCCTGGCTGAAATCAGAGAGAACAAGAAAGATGTTTACCTGTGTTCTATTAAATATGCAAAGACATTTGACTGTGTGGATCATAACAAATTATGGATAACACTGGGAAGAATGGGAATTCCAGAGCACTTAACTGTGCTCATGAGGGACCTGTGCATAGAACAAGAGGCAGTAGTTGAAACAGAGCAAGGGGATACTGCATGGTTTAAAATCAAGAAAGTTGTGCATCAGGCTTGCATCCTTTCACCATACTTATTCAGTCTGTATGCTAAGCAAAGAATCCGGGAATCTAGACTATATGAAGAAGAATGTGACATCAGGATTGGTGGAAGACTCATTAACAACCTGTGATATGCAGATGACACAACATTGCTTGCTGAAGGCAAAGAGGACTTTAAGCACTTACTGATGAAGGTGAAAGACTACAGCCTTCAGTATGGATTATACCTTAACATGAAGAAAACAAAAATGCTCACAACTGGACTGATAAGCAACATCATGATAAATGGAGAAAATATTGACGTTGTCAAGAATTTCATTCGACTTGGATCCATAGTCAACACCCATGGAAGCAGCAGTCAGGAAGTCAAATGACATATTGCATTTGGCAAATCTGCTGCAAAAGACCTCTTTAAAATGTTAAAAAGCAAAGACGTCAATTTGAGGACTAAGGGGCACCTGACCCAAGCCATGATATTTTCAGTCGCCTCATATGCATATGCTGGACAATGAATAAGGAAGACCAAAGAAGAATTGATGCGTTTGAATTATGGTGTTGGTGAAGAATATTGAATATACCATGGACTGTAAGAAGAACAAACAAGTCTGTCTTGGAAGAAATACAGCTAGAGAGCTTCTTGAAAGCAAGGATGGTGAGACTTTGTCTCACATACTTTGGACATGTTACTGGGAGGGACCAGTCCCTGGAGAAGGACATCATGCTTGGTAAAGTAGAGGGTCAGCAAAAAAGAGGAAGACCCTCAACGAGATGGATTGACACAGTGACTGCAACAATGGACTCAAACATAACAATAATTGTGAGGATGGCGCAGGACTGAGCAGTGTTTCATTCTGTTGTACATAGGGTCACTATGAGTCAGAACTGACATGACAGCACCTAATAACAACAACAACAATAAATCTCTAAAGTAAACTTTTTTTAAAATAACATTTTTTATTTTAGAATAGTTTTAGATTTATAGTGATTTTCCTTATACTCCTATAGTTTCCCCTATTGTTGACATTTTACATGGCTTTATTACACTTGACACAATTAAGAAACCAACTTTGGTATATTACTCCAAATTAAACCCCATAATTCTTTTCAGATTTTACTAGTTTTTCTTAGTATCCTTTTTCCACTTTTTAAAATCAATATAGGGTCTTCACTGAATGCAAAAGAAATAAATGTATTATGTTTTTCAAATGGTAATGGCTGGGTATGACTATGCAGTAATGCATGAAGTATTCAAGGGTTTGAAGTACATATAAATAACCCTGAACGCATCAGTAACAACTACGGACAAGTAGTTTGAATTATCAGTGCAAATCCAAGAATGGTATTACAAATGGTGACATAGTTTTCCAAAACTGTGTAACTTCCAAATAAAAAAATGGATCTAACTTCGATTTATACAGCAGATCCCACTAGTTGTAGTCTTGGAAATTAAAATTGTATAAAAAATACTTTGCAGAAATATTAACAATGGAGTTAGTTACGAGGCTCACTTAATTATAAAAGATTTTTTCATTTTTATGAATGTTCAACAGGACATGAAAAACATGCAGACTATGGAGCAATTTTTTGTTGTCCTGACACATGTAGGACAGTCCTGGACGTTGCTAGCCCCCACAGTGATCCCTAATCATTGTAATAACAAAAATATGCCCACTCATTTCCGAAATAACACTACCCCATTTGTTGAGAAACTGTTGTAATTCTTTCAACATTTTATCTTTATATTCTGGTGCTTCCATCTTTTATTTAAAAGACAGAGGATGTCTTAATCTTACTGCTGCTGTAACAGAAATACCACAAATGAGTGGCTTTAATGAACAGAGATGTTTTCTCCCACAGTTTAGGAGGCTAGAAGTCCAAATTCAGGGCACCAGCTCTAGGGGAAGCCTTTCTCTATTGGCTCTGGAGGAAGGTCCTTGTCTCTATAGCTTTTGTTCCTCGGTTTCTTGGCGATCTTCACGTGGCATGTATCTTCCTCTCCATTTGTTTCCTGCTCTGTGTCTAATTTGCTCTTTCTCTCAAAGGTGATTGGTTTAAGACACCCCCTACACTGATATGATCTTATTAGCTAACAAAGAAAGTCCTATTCCCAAATTGAATTAAATCCACAAGTATAGGGGTTTAGGATTTAAAACACATATTTTTGAGGGGCACAATTCAGTCCATAACAGGGGAACAGTATAAGAATCTGTCCAGATAAATAAGTCCTAATATAGTCATTTCTACTATCTCTTTAATCCGAGGAGAGAAAAACTTTCAAAATAATCTAACATTTTCTTTCGTAGATAATTTTAAAGTCTGTTATCACAGCCCTGGTGTTCCTGAAATAGTCAGTATATTAGACATCTGTCAGTGTCCATTTTGTGGCTGGCATTTCCTTTCGTTAGGATTGGCCCAGTTTTCATTTTTCTAAAATGTCTTTGAGTATTTCAGGAAATTCAAATACTTTTCTTAATTTCAGGCTTATGGGATCTTATTTTGATTACTGAAGATCAAGTTATGTGTTTGTACATAGAGAAGAAACAGCCTGCTTTTAGAACAGTGGTTCCTTACTTTTTTATATCTGAAGACCCTTTTAAAAATCTGAGTAAAACTCTGGATACCTCTTCCAGAAAAATGTTCATACACTCATACACCCAAACTTCCACACACAATTCCGAAGAGCTCATAGGTTCCTTGAAGCCCAGCCCGTGATAGATCCCAAGTTAAGAATTCCTGCATTGTAGCACATTTCCTCCTTATTTGGATGTTGGTTTTAGACTGGTGATTTCACAAGGAAGTGATTTGATATCTTGATCACATCTATTAAAATAATAGCCACTCCAAAAACCAAACCCACTGCTGTAGAGTCGATTACAACTCATAGTGACCCCATAGGGTTTCCAAGGCTGTAAATCTCTATGGAAGCAGACTGCCACATCTTTCTCCTGCAGAGCTGCTGGTGGATTCAAACCATCAACCTTTCAGTTAGCAGTTGATCACTTTAACCAGTGCACCACCAGGGTTATGAAAATAATAGTGATCTTCAAATAGGGTTTTCAGTGCACTTGATGCCTGTTGTTGTTTTCAGGTACAGTCCTCTTATAAACTTATATATGCTTATCATGTATTCACAGTGCAGTTCTGCAGAACTCTTTTATAATCTTATTTCTCATATTATTTTTGATCCTTTGAGATAGACACTTTGCTACTGGAAAATATTTGCTTGGTACTGTGACATTTTAGAGCTGTTTGACTTGTGACTGAGCTATATATATTACATTCCCTAGTTTGATGTCTCACTCTGGAAACAGTAGACTATATTCAATTCTTGGAGTTTTGCCTAACCTCATTCATGAGCACAAAATGTGTCATATTGATGAATAGTGTTAGTTCAGACCTTTGCTTGATCATCTTCTCATGCGGTTATCTCTGAATAATATCTTATTTGTCTATTAAGCCTTTCAGATGTTCTGTTAATGTTGTAAGAATTTTTAAGGTTATAGCCATAATTGGAACCAGTGGTCACTACTTTTGTCTTAAATGTAATAGGCATAGATCCATATATTTGCAGCTTTATAATAATTACAAAACCTTTTGTAGTGACCTATACTGGATAGTAGGGAATAAAGAGTTTAATAGTTTCTGTGTTCAGTAATACTTTTGACTTATCTATCTGAGAAACATATATAATGAATTAAAAAA